GTGATTGTGCATGCTCGTACTTAGCAATCTAAGGGTTGTGCATAATTGTGCTTAGCACCCTTAGGTTTGTGCATGTTGGTGCTAGCAATCTAATTAGCCACCTTAGCCTAGCTTAGAGAGGAAAATCCCCCTTCCAAGGCAGACTCAATTGAGTTGGTTTTCCTTCCGCTTTCTAAGCCACCTAAACTAGGTTAAGTTAGGGCAACCCACAATATTGAGTTAAGCAAGTCGGTTAATCACGATTAAGCTTAAGCCGTCCGACCTTAGAGTTGATTGAGGGAGTAAGTCAACTACCGATTGTCTAAACTAAGAGGGTCGAGTGACACGGCCTTTCATGCTTACCTCGGTTTAGCAATTGAGATTGTGGTCTCTGACCACATATGCATCCCTCGGCGATTCGCGGTTACCAGTTTGCATCTACGTTAGTTGTGATTAAGCCGCTCAAACTCCGGTTTGAGGGAGAGACCTAGGCAACCACTAGTGACCGAGCAAAAGGATCGATCCCATGACAAATCGACCTCCAGTGAATCCATCCCGTGACAAATGGATCACTAGTTGCTCCTCCTAGTGGTTCCCTTAGACTTGGTGAGTGGATTGATCCCGTGACAAATCGATTGCTAGTGAATTGATGTCGTGACAGATTGATCACTAGTTGCTCACCACCCGGGGTTCACAACCACCTATGCCACTTGACTCCATTCAATCCAACGATTCACGGTAGCTAGTGAGGTGGAAGCAACTCCTGGGTGAAGCTCCCTTAGTTAGACTTTTCCTTTATATACTTTTCTTTGTTTGGTTAGTTTTTAGTTCCAATAAACCTAAACCCTAAAGTGATAACAACCTAAGCTATTGAAGTAGGGGTACATGGACTGGCCCGGGTTGAAAATTTAAATACTTGCTCTATACTGCACCCGGCTAGAGTTTAAAAACTTGGAATCTAGTCAGGATTATATTGTGGTGTAGTTTCGTGCGAGTCACACTCAAATCTAGGTTTAGTAGCTTAAGGGCCCAGAAGGCCTTGTGCTTTAGCTCAACCGGCAAATGACAAGCCTTTCCATAGACAAGCCGATATGGTGAAGTACCAATCGGGGTCTTGTAGGCTGTCCCATCGGCCTAGAGAGCACCATCGAGCTTGGTGGAACAATCCTTTTGAGATTTATCCACCATCTTTTCAAGTATTCGCTTAAGCTCCCGGTTCGTCAGCTCGGCTTAACCATTCGTTTGGAGATGGTAAGCCACCGACACCTTACGTGAAACATCATAGCGAGAGAGGGTTTAGAGAATTGCCCTTGAAAATGGGTTCCTCTATCGCTAATAATGGCTCAACGAGTCCCGAACCGGGAGAACATCTGCTTCTGAAATGAGCAGACACGTCTTGCATCATTGGTGGGCATGGCTTGAGCTTCTCCCCACCTCGAGACGTAATCCACTGCTACTAGTATATATAGATTACCAAAAGATGGAGGGAATGGGCCCATGAAATCAATGCCCCAAACATCAAAAAATTCACAAACGACATATATATGTTGGGGCATCTCATCCCGGGAAGAAATGTTACATGACCTCTGGCAGTGGTCTCACTGTCGTGCGAAGGCATATGTATCCTTGAAGAGTGAGGGTCAGTAAAAGCCCGACTGTAGCACCTTCCGCGTCGTTCGGTTTCCTCCATGGTGACCGCCGATAGGTCCCTCATGACATTGAGATAGGATGTCTCCCATCTCGTACTCCATGACGCATCACTGGATCACGCCATCTGCTCCAATCCTGAAGAGGTAAGGATCCTCCCAGAAATAATGCTTCAGGTTGGAGAAGAACTTGCGCTTGGCGTGAGTGGCCATCCCCTTAGGCAACTATTTGCCCACCAGATAATTGCCAAAATCGGAATACCAAGGGGTGACGCTCTCCACCAAGAACAACGCCATCAATCGCTCACCCATGAAGGAGTCGGTGATCTCTTCCACAAAGTTGTCTACTGGTGGAGCTTCCAACCGTGAAAGATGATCTGCATCAACATTCTCGGCTTTCTTTTTGTCCCGGATCTCAATATCGAACTCCTGCAGCAACAGGATCCAGCGGATGAGCCTAGGCTTTGCATCAGCCTTGCTCATCAGGTAGCGGATGGCAGAATGATCTGTGTAGGCCACCACATGGGAGAGCACCAGGTAAGGTCGGAACTTAACAAATGCATACACCACAGCGAAAAGCTCCTTCTAGGCGGTGGTGTAGTTTTCCTGTGCATCGTTCAGGGTCTTCGACGCGTAGTAGATGGGTTGGAATTGTTTCTCACGTCTCTGACCCAGAATAGCGCCCACTGCATAGTCACTTGCATCACACATCAGCTCAAAGGGAAGAGACCAATCCGGAGTCACCATGATGGGTGCATGGGTAAGCTTCTCCTTCAAGTTCTCGAATGCAGCTGTGCACTCTAGAGTGAACTGAAATGGTGCATCCTTCTCCAGCAATTTGGTCAAAGGCAAGGCAATTTTTGAGAAGTCCTTAATGAAGCGCCGGTAGAAACCTGCATGACCCTGAAAGCTGTGGATCCCCTTCACACAAACGGAGGAGGTAGCTTACTGATCGTCTCAATCTTCGCGCGATCCACCTCGATCCCCTGCTTGGAGATATTGTGCCCGAGCAAAATCCCCTCACGAACCATAAAATGGCACTTCTCCTAGCTGAGTGCCAAATTAGTCTCCTCGCACCTCTTTAGGACAAGTTCCAGGTTGTGGAGACAATGAGTGAAGGAGTCTCCATAAACCGAGAAGTCATCCATGAAGACTTCCATAATCTCTCCAACCATTCGGTCGAAGATCGCCAGCATACACCGCTAGAAGGTTGCCGGTGCATTACATAGCCCAAACGAAATCCTCCAGTAAGCAAAAGTACCGAAGGAGGCAAGTGAATGTAGTCTTCGCCTGATCCTCTGGCTCGATGAGAATCTGGAAGTATCCGGACTTGCCATCCAGGGGAGTGCATGGCCATTGCATGACTCGTGCAATTCGAGAGCCTGGCCATGAAACTTCTCGCAGAATTCATCGCTACCAGAACATAAGTCGTGCACGGTCATGCAAGAACAGGGTCAGGTCGTGTGAAGTCTCGATAAATCCCACACGGCCAAAATGTTCACTTGCACGGTCCGTACTGCCTTGCACGTGTAAAACACGAGAGATGAGGCTCAACAGTATAAGAATACTGGACAAAAACATGTGTAAATATCGAGTCATCATTCAGATTAGGTGGCCACTCAATTGCATTTCTACTAGATATTTTCTCGAGTTGCCCTCATTATCATTGATAGGTTACAATTTTACCGACATTGTTTTTTTACATGTGAAGAAATTATCTTGATGGGGCGGGTATGGGTATATGGGGCGGGGAGGCTAAAGCCATACCTGCCCCATACCCATAAAAATTTTTGCGGTTTTACCCATACCCGCCCCATACCTAGTCAAAGCGGGGATTCCCCACGTTGACTAGATCGTGGGCGGTCGGGTACTCGCTTCCATGGGTTTGATTGTCATCTCTAGTTTAGATAACTCTATGTATAATCAAATTTAATGACTGATGTGTTACTGACCCCAAAATTTAGTGGCCATTTGCGTGAAAAAACAAAATAGTGGGCGTTTATGTAAATTGACCTCATAATAAACATGTCGTACTCGTATCTCACTGCGCCCAGAAAGTACAAAACATTTCAGCGGAGAATCAGTGGGCCTGCAGATTATGATGGCCCAACTCAATCAAGAACCAAATCGTCCAGTTTAGTGATGGCAATGGGGCGGGTCGGGCGGGTACCTCATTATTCATGTCCTGCTCCACGTTATTACGGATCGGGGCGGGTAATACCCATGTGGCTACAGGCAGGGCGACTCACTCTCATATGTTATTTGAAAAAGATACACGTAAAATTATACATTTTACGATAAAACGAAGGAGAAAATACTTTATGAATGAAAAAAGTGATAATGGAATGGGTAATTGAGTCTAACTAGTTGAAAGATAAAGTCTAATTAAGGCTTAATTGCAAGTTTGGTCACTCGAATTGCTATAAAATTTCACATTTGCCACTCAAATTAATTTATTCCATTTATAGTCACTTAAATTAAGTTAACAGTCCAAGTTTGGTCACTGGCCGTTAGTCTCCGTTAACTTTTGCTGATGTGGCGGTCAACTCTTATAGTTGACCGTTAAATGCATGATGTGGCAATTAAAAATTTTAAAAAAATTAAAAATTAAAATTTCCACCTCAACAATTAGAAAATAATAAAAAAAAAAAAACCTTTTCTAATCCTACACTAATTAAATGCGAGACTGCAAAAAATAAAAAAAAACATTAGGTACCAGAAAAGGGGGAAAGACAACCACCGATCTAGTCCGATCACCAGAGCCCTCCAGGACGCGCGTACGCAGCTTCTCGCACGAGCGACGATTCCGGCAGAAGTTGCCAACGACTCGTTGCTCCGGTGATAGCCTTCTCACCGGCCTGTTCCGTGCAGGTGTCGTTTCCGATGTCTCCGTTAGGCTGATGCGCCCATCACCGGAAAAGTAAATGCTTTCATCCTTATATTGGTGGCACAAAGCCTCTTCCACGTGGCTCCAAAGCTCATCGAACGAATCTTCATCACTACCGCCGTCGCACTTATTCTTCGCTGCCGGCGGCATTGGTACGTCTCTGTTCACGACGGACGTTATAGCCTTGAGCGGCTAACGGGTGTAAAATTTCACATAAAAGTAGAAACAAAACGCAGTGATTAGCTATATCTCTGCGATTGGTTCCTTCCCTCTTATAATGAATCTCCAGTTTTGTTCGTGTATATATATGAGTAGGCCACTCTGTTTCCGTATCCCAATCGGCTTCCGATTTTCACTTACACGAATCCCTTCATAAACCAGCTGGGACTCTGTTTTCCTTTTTCGAGTAGCAAATTTCGACTAAAGTTCAGATCTTTCAAACTTTGGAACCCAAATCCATACCAAAATCCGCAGCAATTCTTCATCGCTCACAAAAAAAGAGCAATTTGCGCCAGAACAATACAAATTCCAAGTGACAAAGAACCAAAACCCACAATTACTCCCCGCGAGATATTTTTGCTAACCCCATCCCCATCCTCACCCTCATCGTCTGACTCATCACCCGCCTTCACCTTCTTCGCCGCAGCTGGAGCCGCTGCTGCAGGGGATTTCTCCTTGGGGTCGAAGATAGCCGCGGGAAGCAGAACATCGTCCACTCGATATATCGCCAGATGGAACTGCACGAGCTGCATCTGCTCCTGCCGGTTCAATGACCGGCCGGGGGTCTTCAATTTGGTGAACGCGGCGTCGCTGGGGCCGAAGATGGTGAGGTCGTTGTTGGTGTCGCCGAGTTGGGAGTTGAGGTTGGAGTCCAACTGTGTGGAAGGGGGAAAAAACAGAGCAACCCGAGCCGAGGTTAGATTAGAAAAGGGTTTTTTTTTATAGTTGAGGTGGAAATTTTAATTTTTTAATTGCCACATCATGTATTTAACGGTCAAAGAATTGACCGCCACATCAGCAAAAGTTAACGGAGACTAACGGCCAGTGACCAAACTTGGACTGTTAACCTAATTTAAGTGGCTATAAATGGAATAAATTAATTTGAGTGGCAAACGTGAAATTTTGTAGCAATTCGAGTGACCAAACTTGCAATTAAGCCCTCTAACTAATATAAGAAATTTCAAAATAGGATAAATATGAATGAATACGATACGAAATTGAGATAGAATGAGCCAAGAACGGGGCGAGGCAGGGCGGGTTGAAAGCACATATGCCCCGCCCCACGCTACTACAGGTTTGGTATTACGCCCATCGCGGGTCAGGTAATACTCGCGGGGCGGGTTCAAATTGTGATCGCTAGTCCAACTACAATTATTTAAATTATTTTATTTTGTATATATAAAAATCAATCTTCTAACTGCGGCTATAATTACAATTTATTCATAATTTTTGTTATCTATCCAGCATACAACAACAAAAGGTTTTGAATTTATTGTTTCCAACTAATTTGACTTCATTCATGGCTCATTAATCGCGACTAATTCGAAAAAAGCATACAGCCGAGTTGCAAAAAAAAAAAAAATTAAAACAACATCTATCATCAAATCGAGCTGTTATCCTAAAATTTTTAGGCAGTCGTATCTTGATTTTCCACTACGGAGAATGCATACAAAAATGACTCGATTCCTAAAACACGGCAAATGGACCTATGAGATTCATTGGATGGAATTTCATAACGAAAGGAATTGGAATTCGTTAGTTGGGACGAAACGAAGAAAATAAAAGAAAAGGTCAAGCTATAAACTAATGAAACTAACGTGGCAGCTAAGAGACAATGCGACTTTTGTTGTGTTCCCTTTTTGATTTGGTTAGTAGGAAATGGTCGGCTTGCAAAGGAAAGAGTGGTTAGATTTTGGTATATTGGAAACATGATGGAAGTACGGATGTTTTTCCTGCTAAAAAATTATTTGATAAATCAATTCATAAACCAGATAATTTGATAAAGAGGAATTTTAAAATGCTATAATTTTACAATACTATATAGCATTGATGCTATAGGTTTTTGTTTTTATTTGACAATTTCATATTGTATCTATATTCTTTATACAAATTCTTTTATAGTACAACTTGAACTTGTACCTTTATGTGACGGTACAACTTTATAACCCCTTTATGTGGCGGTTCAGTTGTACCATAACATAAGGGTACAAATTCTTTTATGTTACAACCTGAACTTACACATTTAACTTTAAGTTGTAAAGTTGTTGTTAGAGTTAGTCAATAGAGTTGTAATACCACATTGATGGGAGAAGAAAAGTATAAGAATTGAGTATTTTTGGTAGTTTAATTAATTAATTAATTTTTATATTAATTAGCGTTTGAATATTGTGAAAAGAAGTGTCCTTCTAGAAAGGTAACTTCCCTTTTCTGTGAAAGGATGTGTCCTTTCGGGAGAGGTAACTACCTTGTTTTGTGAAAGGATGTGACTCTTCGGAAGATAACTTCCAATTTTCTCAACTATAAATATATGACTGCCATAACTCTTTTAATGACGAAAGATTACTTCTTCTTCTGGTTTTCCTTCTCTATTTCACATACACAGAAGTCTGCAAGATTGCTGCTTCCAGACTTAAAATTGAAGGGACTCCTGGGGGTGGTTTGCTCGAGACTACCAGCAATTTGTAGTGGGGGCAAAATAACACTCTAAGGAGAGTGATTAATCACGCCTTCAATCGATTCTTTCCTACCAGTTCCTGACAATCTTAGAGTGTTATTTCTCGAAAATGAATTATGTAGTGGAAAGTAAATTGAAGGCTTGCATTCATTTTAGATGGAACGTTGCATGCATTGGAAAACAAATGGAAGAAAAGATGTCATGGTCTAAATGTGCTTCTACTGGTTGCTACCAAAAAAGGAAAAGAAGCATTACGGAATTTCAAGAAACCGGTAACACCCTCTTCCTTTTTAATTCTTGGTGTTGAGAGTGGGATTGATTTTCATGTGCATGAGTAATCATCGTGTAAATAATCAATCCGTGTGCATGGATTGCATGATTATGAGAAATTGCATGAAATTGTTGTACTGAGTTTATATATACTGATGTATATAAACAGATTGAGAGTGCAGTTGAGAATGCATGAAAAACGAATTATGGTTATTAGTGCAATAATTATACCCATGCTATGGATTTGCCGATTCAGAGGTATGATTTCTCAGATTGATATTGATTGGTGGTTAGTAATCAGGGTGTTCTGATTACTGGTTAAGATGTTCCGTATATATATGTTCGAGACATATCATTGTCTGATATATATATTCATATGTATATGTAAATTTCATTGTGTATCTATTTTAAGGAAGATATCATACTGTAGTTATTTGAGAGGAACCCTCGGTTCCTGTACATGCATGAATTGCATTTGGTTGTTTATAGAATGGCTAAATTGCTCTCAGCGGTTTAATAAACAAAATTGTCATGTCATGACGTGCGAAGTTATAACCAGCAAATTTTAATTGGTCAATTAAACTGGTGTTTTCATGAATGCAACGGTTAACTCCATGCATAACAAAAGTGTTTGTTGTCCATAGGGCAAGAGAAGTTATAGTATCATGTGTCGAAAATAGGATTTAAAGCAGATGCTCTCATGTTTATATTTGTACTCATGTAGTATTATTAATTCCATTGGTAGTTTTTGTATTCCTTTCTCTGTTTGGTGCAACAAGTCTGTTTGGAGAAAGAAATAGAATGATTAACCAATTCAGTTTGGTAAGTGATAAAAAATACTTTATGTAGTATTTGAGATGAAATAAACTCATATTTATTATGGGGAGAGTTGGGGAAATTCAATTTGTTTGAATTTGAAAGAATTCATGTCGAATTCTTAAAGTAGATTTTGTCACCAAATTTTGTATGAATTTCAATATTGATGCTTGCAAGATGTAACAATTTGGTTTATGTAACAAAATTGTTTGAGTTGTGCACTTGAAGCATATTGAAATAATGGTGAAAAGCATCCCCCGACATGGTAATTTGTTTATCATGTATTGGTTTATGATGTCATGTTTCATATGCCATGAGGAAAAGGAAAAATGAAACTAAGATGGTTCCTTATAGGGATTGAATAAGCTTGCCAAAGAAAGATTATTATCAAAATAATCATTGCCGGAATTGTTTATGGTATATATAGACATATACCATTGGCAAACAATTTGGCTTGAGAACTAATTGAGATGATCTTATTGAACTTAAATTCTGAATTACTTATGGTATGTGTGTGAATCTATACCATTGGAAAGTAATTAGAAGATTGAATTAGAATATTCATTTGAATTGCTTGTGGTATGTCAAGTTAACTTCGTGAAATGTCATTGGTAAGTAATTAGATGGTATTTCCAATACAATCTGGAAATGCAACTGAATTACTTGTGGCATCTCAAGTTACCTTGACCAATTCCATTGGTAAGTAATTAGATGATATTTCTAATAATATCTGAATTGTTTGTGGTATACTAATCTAATTAGTTCATATCATTGGTAAACAATTAGATCAATGTAGTGGTTGAAAGTTCAATAAGTAATACCATGAAAAATAAAAAGGAATTATTCCATGACAGTTCGGCAAGTGGAAGAATTGTGGGGGAGATGGTTTTGATGCTAGTTGGATAGCAAGTTCTAGTGAACATAAATCTACAACGGGTAGATTTTTACACTAGGTGGTGGAGCTGTTTCTTGAGCTTCGAAGAAACAAATGTGTATTACACTCCACCATGGAAGATGAATTTCTAGCCCTTGCGGCGGCTGGAAAAGAGGCATAATGGCTAAGAGACATGATATTAAGTATAGAGTTGTGGCCACAACCGATGTCAGCCATTTTTGTCTATTGTGATAGTGAGGGTACTTTGTCAAGATTTACAATGGTAAGTCTAAAAATATTAGCCTAAGACATGATTACATTATTATTTGATTACTAATAGAATCATTTATATTGTGTATGTAAGATCAAGCAATAATTTGGCAGATTCTCTTACCAAGGTATTGCCAAGAGGCATGATCTATGAGAAATCCCAAGGGATGGGATTGAGACCTTTTGTGATGTTAGAAGTAATGGAAACCCAACCTTTTCTTTAGGTATTCACTAATTAAAAGGTTCAATGTGGTAATAACAAGTTAATCTAACTGAGGTACAAATTTATTGTACAAGTAAACTAGTCCAAAGAAGGGTGAGTTACAGAACTCTTAAAATGAGTTATAGAACTCTTAATGAATTCATTTGGAATGTCACCTATGTGAGCATTAAGAGTGGTACCGCTCTAACAAAAGTAGAGGTCAACTTTTGTGTATGCTCATGAAACAGGATCAACACATGGCCATAATAGTGCTACCCTCGTTGGTGGTTGTGGTTTAGAGAAGAGACAAGCACGTGTGTGGCATCTCCGGTTATAGCTTTGGATCGTGACTCCTAGGCTTAAGCCCGTCACTGATTCATTATCAACATTGAGTTGCTTACACTAGGTAAAGGTTCAAATCGAAAAGATACCTTTATGTATGCGTTACTTGTTCGAGGCAAGTATTCTCAACTCTTGTTGACTAAGTGGGGGATTGTTAGAGTTAGTCAATAGAGTTGTAATACCACATTGATGGGAGAAGAAAAGTATAAGAATTGAGTAGGCAGTTTAATTAGTTTTATATTAATTAGTTAGCGTTTGAATATTGTGAAAAGAAGTGTCCTTCTAGAAAGGTAACTTCCCTTTTCTGTGAAAGGATGTGTCTTTTCGGGAGAGGTAACTACCTTGTTTTGTGAAAGGATGTGACTCTTTGGAAGGTAACTTCCAGTTTTCACAACTATAAATATATGACTGCCATAACTCTTTTAATGACGAGAGATTACTTCTTCTTCCGGTTTTCCTTCTCTATTTCACATACACAGAAGTCTGCAAGATTGCTGCTTCCAGACTTAAAATTGAAGGGACTCCTGGGGGTGGTTTGCTCGAGCCTACTAGCAATTTGTAGTGGGGGAAAATAACACTCTAAGGAGAGTGATTAATCACGCCTTCAATCGATTCTTTCCTACCAGTTCCTGACAGTTGTACCATAAAATAAGAGTACAAATTCATTTATGGTACAACCTGAACTTGTACATTTAACGTGATGGTACAACTTCAAGTTGTACATTAAAGCATCAATGCTTTATAGCATAGTATAAGTGCTCTTTGATCAATCGTTTCATTTGATAAAATGGTCATTTATAAAGAGTAAATTCAAATTCTCTTTCGTTCTAGACAATTGGAATATACTCAAAACGAATCAATTCATAATTCTCAAGACAGAATTATTTCATATAGTTGAGAGTCTAAGAGCTAGGGTTTCGTTGTCGGCCGTAGGGTTTTTCAACCTTTTGGGGTTGACGGCGGCTGTGTTTCGATTTTCTTAATCTCTTGTCCAGTTAAGCATATTTGTTCTTTTGTTTGAGTATTATTACGTTGGATTGGTATCAGCCTCCTGCGATACTAAATCCCTAGTGAGAGTTTCATAGGAGTCTCTTTAGAACTCCTGGGGTCTCGTCCTTTGAAACCCTAACTTGCCTCAAGTGGTATAGGGTAAGGGAGTGATCCATTTCTAATACAATAGTTTGCTTATTGTCTTTCGAGAACTACGTCAATGGAGCGAGAATACCCTAACAATGATGTTGTTGGAGAGGGGGACCCCTCCTCGGATGAGTTAACGGAAGCACAGAACCGGAAAGCATATTCAATCTCAAATAGAGATGATTAAGTTGGCGGAGGATGACACGCTGGTTGTAGAAGATGAAGACATCGATTCCGCTATGGTTCAGGCAGTCAGTCTTCTAGGGCTTGTCGGTAGACTCGTGTCACCCAAGAAACACAACTTGAAATCAATGAAAATAGCATTGTCAAAGACTTGGAACCTACAACAAAATTTTCAGATATCAGAAGCAGGGGATCAGCTCTTTGGTTTTTCGTTTATGAACAGAAGTGATCGAGATAGGGTGCTTCTTGGTGGACCTTGGCATTTTGATAATAGTATACTTATCTTTAAGTAGGCAAATGCTTTCAGCAGCCAAAAGCGGAAGATTTTCACATAAAGGAGATATGAATCCAAATCCATAATCTCCCAGCTGCTCTACGAACAAATAAGATGATACATAAAATTGGAGCAAGATTTGGTACTCTGATATGGAATGACAGTATAAGAGAGAATGCATGGAATGATGTATTGAGGATTAGGGTGGGGAAGGATATCCGAACTACCCTAAAGCAGGAATTGAAACTTAACCTCAAAGGCACAATATAGACTTACGAAGTAAAGTATGAAAAGTTCCCTATGTATTATTTTTCGTATGGATTGGTGGGACATCCCAAGTTTAATTGCCCTAACCCACCTCCTGATGGGAAGGATTTGGTTGGACCGGAACTATGGGTAGGTTTGTCTAAAACAAAACCGTGGCAAAGCAAGCTTGAGAAGGAAGAATCAAGGGAACTATGGCAAGCCCCAAGGGAGAAGTTTGATAGAGGAGCAACTACAGTTAGAATGAAGATTGAAGAGGAAAAACACATGAGGAGAATGAATGATGACAATGTTGATGTAATAGAGCGACGTATGCTGACCCAGAAGGCAGAAAGAGAGATAGCAAAAGAGCAAATGCTCAAGAAAACTAATATTGGTTTCAAGAAAGAATCATGGAAGGGGTCACCTGAGGAAATCTGGCAGTCAAGGCAGAATAAAGAGGTAGAGGAAGATACATCTGAAGCTTTGAAAGAAGTAGCCCTGGGCGCGGCTCAAGAGAAGAATGAGATCACACGGGCTATGATACAGAATCAGAGCATAGTTTTCTCGATAGGAAACTCAAACGAACAACAACACAAGACAACAAAATCTAGGAGCTGGCACAAACAGAAAGGGTGCCCTAGTCTAGGGGTAGACAGACCTGCAACACAACTTACCCCACATAAAAGAACACTTGAGTTAGAAGTTGGGGAAATAACAATCACACTATGGAAATGATAGAAGCTATGACGAATAAATCTAAAACCCTTGAGAAGTGTAATGAGTTAGAAGAAGCACCCTAGAAGAAATTTTCTAACCTTAAATTGGATGGCGGAGAGGCGGATCTAGCTGAAGGTTGCCATGCTAAGAATGATATCTCAGTTATGGAGAAGATAAAGTCTTGTGAGGGAAAATTATTGAGTTGGAGTAAAACGAATTTTGGGGATCTTAGATTTCGTAAAAATAAAGCTGAAAAGGCTTTAGGCAAACTGAGCAAAAGTATATCAACTGCTACGATAGTTATTTAAAGAAAATATTTGGAGAAAGAGTTAAGTGATATTTTGATCCAAGAAGAACTGATGTGGCGACAAAGGTCGAGGGTGGTCTGGCTGAAGGGGAGTGATAACAATACAAAAAAATTTCATCGAAAGGCCTCAGACAAAATAAACAGAAACACTATAAGAAAATTAGTGGAGGAGAATGGGGAGGTGAAGGAAGGGCAGGCGGAGGTGGAGGGATGCCTAACTAACTATTTTAGTTTGCTCTTTTGTGCAGGAAATATGGCACCATCAGAAGCTATTTTGAGAGCCATTCCAAGGAAAGTGACTCAAGAAATGAATGATGATTTGTTGAAGTCGTTTACCCAAGAGGAGATCTAGATAGCTTTGAAGAAAATGGGACCAAACAAAGCCTGGTATGAAAACCTGTTTTTCTGAAAAACTGGGATATAGTGGGAGCATATGTGACAAGGGAACTTCAACAGTATCTGAATGAGGGTGTTTTTCCTCAAACTCTCAATCACACTTTAATTGCGCTCATACCCAAGAAGAAAGTGGTGGAATCACCCGTGGATTTCCGACTTATTAGTCTTTGCAAGGTGCTATACAAGATCATCTCTAAAGTCTTGGCAAATAGACTGAAGGGCATACTAAATGAGGTAATAACAGAGTTCCAAAGTGCTTTTGTGCCTGGTCGTCATATCACAGATAATGTTATGGTGGATTTTGAATATTTTCATTCAATGAAGGGCAGGACACAAGGAAATAAAGGTTTTATGTCAGCTAAACTGGACATTTCCAAAGCTTACGACAGGGTTGAGTGGAACTTTTTAGAAGCTATGACGAAGAGGCTAGGTTTTCATGAAAAATGGGTTGCGATGATCATGCATTGTGTATATATAGTATTTTATTCGATTCTAGTAACTGGTCATCAAACCTCAACTTTTTTCCTACTCGAGGATTAAGACAAGGAGGTCCCATCTTGCCATATTTGTTCTTATTCATTGCAGAAGGTCTTTCTGCTCTCTTGACTCAAGTAGAAAGGGAAAAGAAGATAGAGGAAATTCGAGTGAAAAGAGGGGCTTCTTCTATCAGTCATTTGCTCTTTGCATATGATTTTGTTATTTTCTCAAAGGCTACTGAAGATGAATGTGGAAACTTAACGATGCTTCTAAACCTTCATGAGACAGAAAGTGGCCAGAAGATAAATTTGGAGAAATATGAGATTTCTTTCTCTCCAAATGTTTATGGCTACAAGAGACAGGAGCTGGGAGGGATTATGGGCATGAGAGTGGTTGACTTCCATCATAAACATTTAGGTCTTCCAACAGTGATAGGAAGACAAAAGAAAGCAGTCTTTAGCTACTTGGTAGACAGGGTACGTAGAAAGGTATAGTTGTGAAAAAGTAAACTGCTATCTTATGGGGGTAAAGAAGTTCTAATTAAGGCAGTGGCACAAGCACAAATGAACTATGTTATGCAAGTTTTCTTGGTTCCAGTGACAACTAAGAAGGAGATTCATAGTCTGATTTCCAACTTCTGGTGGGGTGAACATGGAGAATGGGAGACGAGGGTAGAACGCATTGGATAAGCTGGAAGAATCTGTGTTTACCAAAATCTAAGGGAGGCCTATGTTTCAGGAATCTACATGATTTTAATCTAGTTATCTTAGGAAAACAACTCTGAAATATCATTCAGAATCCTTCTTCACTGATGACAAAGGTTCTAAAAGCAAAATACCATAAAAATAGAGACATTATGGAAGCGGAAGAAGGCTATAATCCCAGTTACTTATGGAGTAGTATCCTAGCGGCTAAAGGAGTGGTCGGGCAAGGGTTAAGATGGAGGCTTAGAAATGGAGTCAAGATTGATATATGGCATGACAAATGGGTACCCTCAACATCGAATTGCAATGTGGAATCTCCTCTAACTCAAATTTCTCCTACCACTTCAGTTGGAGAGCTGTTAGATTTGGAAAGTATACCTTGGAAACTTCCCCTTCTACAAGCTCACTTTAATCTAGTGGATAGACAAAGGATCATGCGAATACCCATTCCTAGACAATCGGTGGATTATCAAAGGATTGGAGGGGGGGGGGGGGGAGAAGTCAGGTCACTATTTTGTGAAATCAGCATACAGATTTTGGACCACTAGATAGGAGGAAGAATAGGGTGAGCTTTACATTCCTATCAACTGGGAACAGATCTGGAAACTAAATATTCCCCCTAAAGTTAAGGTTTTTGCTTGGAAATGGATCAAATCTATTCTTCCAACAGGAGCAAAAATTGTTGATCAAATTGATAAGGGGTGTGATGAATGTTCTTTTTGTGGGCTAAGAGAAACCCAAAAGCATCTTTTTCATTGATGTGGATGGGTTCTTCGAGTCTGGCGACCGAGTTCTCTCTATTCGAGAAGGGGGAAGATCTTACCAGTGAGGAATGGATGGCAAAACTGCAGGCGACGGTTTCAGAGGAGCTCCTTAGAAAATTTCTTGTGGCTCTCTGGTTTATCTGGGAAGAATGAAACAGTCAGTTATGGAACAAGAAGAAGCTTGAAGAATTTGAAATAATGACAAAAGCCGAGAGATGGATTGAGGAATACCAGGAGTATCAACAATAGATTGAAGGAGGTCGGGAGAAAAAGGAATATCGTTGGCAACCCCCTCTCTCTGGTCCAATGGACACCGGAAAATGGTGGAATGCTTGGCAATTAGATGGGGAATTGATATAGCAATGGAGCACGAGTTTGGACAGTGTGAAGTTGAGACAAATTGTTTGAGTGTTGTCCAGAAATTGCAAAGAGAGAAGAATGTGATGACTGAAGAAGGCGTTCTATGCGAAGAACTGCGAGACCATTTGAACCACTTGGGCTCGGTACGAGTGGGCTTTTCAGGCTGGAATAATAATAAAGCATCTCATTAATGGCCATACCGCCGAGTGGACTTTTCAGGTTGGAATAGTAATTTTTCTTGTTTCCCAGCTCTTAGCTGATTACTATAATAATATAGGCTTTTCTAAATAAAAAAATTGTTCTATACAATATCATGTCGACATATAGAGCAATTTGGTTCAATTGTCTCAAAACAATATAATTTTTTCAAATCTAAAAAACTCATGAAAGTATTTTGAGGGGAATATGGTGTCTAAAACATCAAAATAGGTTACACTTGTATAATGAATTTGGGTCATTGCCATTTGCCACAAACAATATGTATGAGTGGTATAATTAACTACGAATGTGGAAAAAACCCCTCCTGCAAGCACATTCTTAAAATCGAAACTATTGAGATCTGATATTTCGGGTGACTGAACACATGACATTGTTTTATAGTACATTTTTTTTATCTGAAGCAACAAAAACTGAATCAGATCTTTTGTTTTTTCTCGCTCGATTATTACTGTCTTATTCAAAATAAAATTATCGAATTCTCGGTTTAAATCGAAACTATTAGTGCGAAACGATTCAAAATTATTAACTTACACCAACAATAAGAGATAAATAATACGACTTTCTGATATTCTGTTAATCAACAAATCAAATCCGAACTAAAAATCTTAACCGTAAGCATCAATAGTATGGCGTGAAGGAAATATCGTGGTATAACTTAGGGGTGTTCAAACGGTGTGGTTACTGTGGTAACCTTTTTATCGGTAGTATTTGGATAATTTGGTTTGGTTGATTTGGATAACGCATTAGTTTGGTTAAATTTTTTAGCTTGTTTGGTTTAGGTGGTTTGGTTTCAGACACTCCTAACCAATTAAACCAAATTAACCAGTTAAGTCATTAATCATAGATCTCATAAATATTATATACGCATACTTAATACTTTGCATAACCACTCAAGTGTTAAACGTTCCTCCCTCTTAGGCTCATTAAAAAATAATGTTCAATGATGTTCCTATATTGTATATTTGTATTTGTGGAGTGTAGACCACAACATATGTACTCCTAATTTATATAAGACTCATACAATATGTTGGATGAAAACTTGACGATATGTTGGATGAAAACTTGAAAATAAGTTCTTTTCAGTATATGATAATTGCTAAGAGAATAAGTCAATTTACAAAACACAACAATTCATTAACCTCATACCACTGACATATACTTTTGTTACGTGAATACCTCTATTGACAGTACGATAATTGTATTAATTACATGTATTTATGTTAAGGGTTAACTATAACTATGTGTTGGTTGTTATGTTTTTATTCATTATATAAATTGTGAATTGATGCATTAACCAGAGATTTTCACACATAATGATATTGTGATGTTATATTGGTTAACCAATTAACCAAATCGATTAAACTTTAGTTTGGTTAATTTGATTTTTGTATTAGTTTGAACTGTGGTTATGATATTGTATTTAATAATTAATAAATTTTAGACTTATTTGATTTGGTAGTTATCATAGTAATCATTTTAATACGCCTAGTCACTATAGCGTATCCTTAGAAACATGATGCCCCATTAAGTCTGTTATAATCTTTTATAAAGTTTCGAACTCGAGTAGGGTTTTACATAATGAGGGAATCAAAAGAATGTAGAAAAGGTGTTCAATGTTAGTGGGTCACCCTTTTGTTGTTTTATTAAAAGCGGGAAAAATAGCAAGTTGAATGGTCAAAAAGGAAGTGCCCCAAAGCCAAACCCCAACCCCAACCTCGTAATGGGACTTTTACACAGTAGTGGACACTCACCAAGCCAATTAATTAACACCTAGCAGACACGATTATTATGTCCTGTAAATCACCGATTACATTTGGTCAAACAGATGCAATTAATTATAGCTTTTTCAATCATAATTAGCGAGAATTTAAGCAAATTCTAAAAGCCCAAAAAATGAAAAATAATAATACAAAAAAGGCGAGAAATCAAATTGGAAATGAAAAAGCGGAAAAAAGAAGAGGGAAAAATATATAAATAAAAAAATAAAGAAGAGGGAAAAAATAAAAAAGAGAAGAAAAAGGGTGGGAGAATGAGAGGAGAGAGAGAGAGACGCGATGAATTGATGCCATTATACGCTGAACTTTTCATCCTCCACCACCAACGCCTATGGATCTATCGTCTCCTCCCTCCCTTTCTCTCTCCGCTGTCTGATCGCCCCACCATCAATTTCCTCCCCCGCCGCTTCTGCCACCGCATATCTTCTTCCCGGAGGTAGTTTCCCGCCTTCATCGGTATGCCCTCGCATCTTCCTCCGATTCACCCTTCTCTCTCTCCGTTTCTCTTCCTTTGACTTTTGTCCTCCTACCGTTCCTCCTTCTCCCTCTCTCTCTCCGCTCGGTTTTTTGGGGGGTTTAGATCGGCCTGGAGATGGATAGATCTTGTTCCTGTTTGATTCTCTCGTTCCTTTCCTTCCTGGACGCAGCTTGCTGCTTCACGAACTACCCTTCCGCTGTTCAATTCGTTTTTATGAACCTCCGTTTCTTCAGTTGATGTGTTTTCTTTTTGGCTGTGGTGGTCTGAGGATCTGTAGCGTATTTTTTTTCTTTCTTTCTTTGGCGTCTGTATTGGCTCCGTCCGCGATTTGATTGAGTTGGGTCTAAGGTGGAATGGGGATTTTTGGAACAAATAAGAGTTGGTAAACCAATAGTTTAACTTTTGGCGGAGATGGAATTTCATACTTACCCTATGATGGGTTCAGGGGGGATTTGTATGGCAATTAATGCCCTTGCTAATTTGTGTTTTTCCCCCTGTTCTCAAGATTGATGCTTTGTTTATTTTCGCTATAGATTTGAGAGGTGTGTGGCTTAGGGTCTTCAGTTGCATTACGGTACGCGGGTTGTCCATCTCTTTCTGCTAATGCTTTCGATGGTATGGCAGGTGATGCAATGTCCTGTTGAAAGGGAACTGTAAGCGCACAACAAAGGACAGGGGGTGCCCGAACCAATGGCTTCTGTGGGTATGGTACCCACTTCTGGTTTGAGAGAAGCTACTACTCATAATGCAGCAGGCGTTGACAGGTTACCTGAAGAGATGAATGACATGAAAATTAGAGATGATAAAGTAAGACGTTGTTCTCTTGAGTTTTCATTTTCTTACCATCACCTTTTTTTTTTTTTTCATCTTACTTATTAGCTATTGTTCTTCTGTTTGCAATTGTTTGCAGGAAATGGAAGCAACGGTGGTTGATGGAAATGGAACGGAAACTGGTCACATTATTGTAACGACAATTGGTGGTAGAAATGGCCAGCCAAAGCAGGTGAATTTTTGTTGCGCTTCTTTGTGATGCATCTCTATATAGTCTTCGTTACGTACGTGCTCCTATGCTCCTTGCTTTTCCTTACTAACTCTGCAGTCTTATCTGAATTGAAATGCAGACTATCAGCTACATGGCAGAGCGTGTTGTAGGCCATGGATCATTTGGTGTGGTTTTCCAGGTATGGTTGCAGTTTTCGTCGAAATTACCCCGGTATCTTACTTCAAGTTGATACTTTTTTCCTATTTAACCATTGTGTTATCTCAGGCTAAATGTTTGGAGAATGGAGAAACTGTTGCAATAAAGAAAGTCCTTCAAGACAAGAGGTACAAGAACCGTGAGTTGCAAACCATGCGCCTGCTTGACCATCCCAATGTGGTCGCTTTGAAGCATTGCTTCTTCTCAACAACTGAAAAGGATGAACTTTACCTCAATCTTGTTCTTGAGTATGTCCCTGAAACCGTGCACCGTGTGATCAAACACTACAACAAGCTGAATCAAAGGATGCCATTGATCTATGTGAAGCTTTATGCATACCAGGTCTGAACCATATTGCCTTACATTGGGCTTGCTATGTAATATATGTATAGCTCGTATAGTTGTGAGCCTATAGTGCATCGAGCCATATGCTGGGCTGAATGACGGCACTGGTGGCCTTCTGAAAGCTTAAATTTTGATGTAATAGCTTCGGGTATTTACTTCTGAAGCTATGCTTTGGGCTAATCTTGACCTGTCGTTGATGATGTTTTGCAGATATTCAGGGCATTGTCATACATCCATCGCACGATTGGAGTATGCCATCGGGACATTAAACCTCAAAATCTTTTGGTATGCACAATGTTCTTTTGTAGTTTGTATGTATATGATATGATATGATATAATATGATATGATGAGATTAGATTGTTTCCAGCTTTCATTTTATCTTCTACTTAATCACATGAGGGTTGATCAATTGGTGTAAGTTCTTTGTTGTGGAAACCATCCTTGACTTTTAGCGAGTCCAAGTATCTTCATCTGATCTGTGTATTGTGTTGGTGCAGGTAAATCCACATACACATCAGGTTAAGTTATGTGATTTTGGCAGTGCGAAGGTCTTGGTAAGTCTTTAGGTGCCTTCTTTATGTTATTGCCTTTGTTTTGGTAATAAAGTTCCAGCCTTATTAACATTTGATTGGGTCTTATCAGGTGAAAGGGGAACCTAACATAGCTTATATTTGCTCGAGATATTATAGAGCTCCTGAGCTTATATTTGGAGCGACTGAATACACTACAGCTATTGACATTTGGTCCGCAGGTTGTGTTGTTGCCGAGTTGCTACTTGGACAGGTGTGATATTTTCCATGTAGTATGCTTACTAAATATCTATCTGTTATCCAGCTAATAAATATATTATTTGTGATTTTTGCAGCCTCTATTTCCTGGTGAAAGTGGAGTTGACCAGCTTGTGGAGATTATCAAGGTAACTCAGTGTTTTAGTTTCTCTCTATCGTCCAAGGTCTACAAAATTTGGTTGTTACTGATTGATTGTTATTCTGAATGTGATAATTCGGTGTTTTAGTTTCTCTCTATCGTCCAAGGTCTACAAAATTTGGCTGTTACTGATTGATTGTTATTCTGAATGCGATGTGTGCTGTTTGTTTTGCAGGTGTTGGGTACTCCAACAAGGGAAGAGATCAAGTGTATGAACCCAAACTATACGGAGTACAAATTCCCTCAGATCAAGGCTCACCCCTGGCACAAGGTAAGCATGAATGCTCTTGCTGTTGGTTCCTTTTATGTCTCAGCTGATGGCCTACTTACAATTCCATGGTACTGTCTGTAGGTATTCCACAAGCGCATGCCTCCAGAGGCAGTTGATCTTGTCTCAAGACTCCTGCAATACTCTCCCAACTTACGGTGCACAGCTGTAAGTACTTCATTGCATCTTTTTGCCTGTGATTTGGACATCAATTGCGTCTTGGAAGTTCTTTCAAGTTGTGGTATTAGTGGTTGCAACTAATCTATTGCTTTGGCTCTGTAGCTGGATGCTATGACACACCCTTTCTTTGATGAGTTACGAGACCCAAACACACGTTTGCCAAATGGACGGTTCCTTCCACCGATATTTAACTTTAAAGCTCACGGTACGTCGAAAAAGGCCACATAGTTACACGTTCAGTCCATCCATGCTTGAACCATTGGTTGTTAAGTTTCTTACCGGGACTTGTGTGTGGCAGAGATGAAAGGGGTGCCTGGGGAGACCTTAGTTAAGTTGATACCAGAGCACGCGAGGAAGCAGTGTCCGTTTGTTGGATTATGATCTCACACTGTAACAAAAGCTCAGCAGGTGTTCCCGGGATTGTTGTGATGTGCCAGTGCTGCTACCTACATTGTCTCAAGTTGGAATCATCATCAGCTTATTATATAATGATGTTAAAATTTGGTTCTCTTTGTGGTTCGTGTGATATAATTTTTGTTGTTGTTTAGAGAAGGAAGAGAACAGCATATTTAGTGAAATGCCTGCTTTTAATGTTTGTGCAAACCCCGACGATCCCCTTCTTATTCTTCTACCACTTGATGTATGCCTGACTCTGTTTGTTCTCCCTATAAGTGATTTGTAACAAAGCTTACTGTTGTAGTGAAAAGACCCGAATGACAAATTTCAGTTGTTATCTTTCTTCTTCAGTCTAATGTAACTTTGTTTCAGGGGTAAAAAGTTTAAAACACGTAAGAGCGGAACTATGAACACTTTGTGTGGTTTGATCATACTGGTGGTCACATCGTTACAGGTTAATGGATTTCGATCAATAAACATGGTTTTGTTTAAGATTTTATGTCCGAGTGGCTAATGCACATATCTGTTACATTCCTCTGCCTCTCTGCTTCCTTTACCTCACACTCACACCTAGAGCTAGAGGGTACAAACAATTGGCGCCCACCGTGAGGCATGATTTCAACATCTGTTCGTTCGATTTCGAAGGAAAATTGATTGACCACTCTCAAGACCCAACACTATTCGACAGTAGCTGCAGCATAAAAATAAAAATGGGGACGAAGCTGGGAAGAAGAAAAAAAAAGTTCCAGATCTGATTTTTTTTTTGGAAGAACTCAAAACCTTCTCCACCAACTAAGTGCCACAGCAGCTGCCAAATTCTTTGAAGGCCAGCCGAGTAAAAGAAAAGAGAGATGAGGTCGATGATTTCCCCCAAAATCTCCAACCCCACATCCAAAATAGGCGGCATACAAACAGAGAGGAAGGAGAAAAACCAGATCTAAGTCTCCAAATGCACCACAAGTTCTGTTTTTGGGGGGAAGCTGACTGTGGGAATCTGTAATTGATGAGGTTGGACCCAAATGGAGGAGAAAAGGAGGTTTTGTGTCCCTAGGCAGCCCAGGTCCATCGAAAGAAAAAAAAAAAAAAAAAGAGAGAGTGAGAAGAACAGCAGACTCAGATTCCGGCGAGCCCACCCATCTCCGGCGAAGAAGTTCTCACAAATGTCGTACAGTCCACCGTTATCGTTTTGATCGATCCCCAAAGGGGAAGTTTCTGAATCCGGAAGTGAAAAAAAAAAAAAACAAATCCGAAGAACAAAAAAGAAAAAAAATCCAGTTCCGAGACATTCCAGATCCAGTGGCCTCCCGAAAGTCGAAAAAGTTAGTCTCCTAACAGGCCATTTTGTTAGGAGATACTGATAGGGTCTGATTTTGGGCCACGTGTGTTTGGGCTTCATCCAACGGAGGAGAGTGGTGGCTCACTTAAATGAGCTGGAGATGGGCTTCCGTGTAGAAGCCGGCCCAGCGTGCGGCGCAGAAGGCGAGCCGAGTTCGTGGCGTGGTGGGCCCGGCCTCAGTTTGGGCGGGATTTTGGGTTGGAGTGGAAAGCGTGGTGGGCCCGGCTTCAGTTTGGGCGGGATTTTGGGTTGGAGTGGAAAGAGAATGAAATTTTTGGGCCCCATGTTTGTTTGGATATTTATTTGTTTTCAGTGGATGTTATTATGTGTTGTGTTGATATTACTTTGAATCATTGTGTTGGATATTTATTTGTTTTCAGTAGCCATCATTAAATTAATATTTACCAAACCCCAAAATAACCCAACCACCCGAAACTGATTACACCAATTTAGAGTTTAAGTTTTAGGGTTTATGGTTTGGTTTTCAATTTGTGAAGGATTGGAATATTGTTTCTTACATCAAATTAAACACACTAGGAAATTAAACCCACTAGGAAGTCCTAACACGTAAGGCTTGCAACCTTAGTTAGGGCTGCCCGCCGAGGGCCCATGGGCCGAAGGCCCATTAAATAATAATAGTTTATGGTTTATGGTTTGTGTTATGGTTTAGGGTTAAGAGTTTAGGGTCTAGCTTAGGTTTGAATTGATATTAGTTCATGTTTTCGAAATTTTCTTGGACTTTTCGATATTCTAATAGGGCTTTTTTGGAAAAGTGATTAGGGTGTTAGTGTTAGGGTTTAGGAATGTTTTTTAGGGTTAAAGGTTTAATTATTAGTTGTAATGGAGAACGGATATTAGTGCGACAGTCGGATATTAGATAAAAAGAGTCGTTTTTTTATACCCAATGAAAAGAGTCGTTTGATAGATAAATCGCGATAAAACTAGTTGTTTCATTCGCGATAAAGGGAGAGATTTGGCAATTGGGGAAGAACGTTAAAAGGGGTAGGGTTTAGGGTTTTGTTTTTTGGTTTTTTAATTAGTGGGCCCGGCGGACACCGCAAGCCCGAGTGGGCTGAACGGATATTAGTTCGCGACGTTCGGATATTTGGGCTGGCTGGTTTGGATAGTTTTTTATTGAGACTGGATATTAGTCTGTCTTTTTTTTATATTTGTCTGTGTCGTTTGGATATTTGTCAGTGTTGTTTGGATATTTGTGGAGATACTGACACGGCCCAGTGGAGTTTTGTGGGTTTTTTAGCCTAGCTGAGATGAAAGATGGAGCTGATGGTGGCGGTTTGGTAGGGTTTAGGTGGCAAGGGGGGAGAAATGGAAAGAAGGGGCCTAAGTGAGTCATTTATTTGGGGAAACAAAAATCAAAAATAGGAAATTCATACAAAGTGGAGGAATTTAATGCTCCCAACTACCCTACCCACCCAAACCCGAAAATTGCCTCTCTCTCTTCCATTTTTCTCTGTTTTTCTTCTCTTCCAAAGGAAGAGAGCCGCCGCCCAACTGTATTTTCCGGCGACCATCTTCTTTTCCGGCGACCATCTTTCCGGCGACCTTCTACGATGCTGATCGACGACAATGGGGAGTTGGATGATCAAGGATCTTCTCCAATGAAGAAGGGTAAATCGATCGCACAAAATAGTGAAGAAGAAGAACTCTATCCTACATCATATGAGTTTGTTGATGAAGATTCAAGTGGTGCTCCTGCCCTCAACGAAGAAGAAGAAGAAGATAAAGGTTGATTGAGTTCTTTATATGTTTGTGTTGTTGTGAGATTGGTTGGTTGCATTGAATATTTGATGTTGAGATTGTTGTGAGAATAGCATTGAATGATGTTGATGTTGTTATGGGTGTTTGATGTTGAAATTGTTGTGAGAATGACATATCTGTCTGGTTCTTTCGGATATTTGTCTGTTTCTTTGAAGATATGTGTTTAACTAAGCATGGTATTTGTCTGGGCTTCATGGATATTTGTATATTTGCTTGCCGATATTTGTTTAATGAAACATGATATTTTTCTGGGCTGTAAGGATATTTGTATATCTGCTTGCCGATATTTGTTTAACGAAACATGATATTTGTCTGGGATGTAACGAAACATGATATTTGGTGTGTGAACCACTATTTAATGCATTGTTTGATACTTGTCTGGTAGTTATAGATATTATTTATTTGAATTCTGGATATTTGTTGAAGCCTATGTATTCTAACAGTTTGTGGTCAAGAATGGATTATAACATGCCTCATACCATTAACTCGCAGCTCATAAGACGTTGGATCTAGAAGACGAGGAAGCGAGGAAGAACATCTTTTATCGCACTAAGGATGAGTGTTTTGATTTCTATAAGCGCTACGCTCACAAAAAAGGGTTTGGTGTTCGAATAGATGGGGAACACATAAGAAAGATCAAGAATTCTAAAGGAGTGGTGGAGAAAAATTATGCATACCTTTATTACTTTTGTAATAAGGAAGGCTGGACTTCCACAAGCAAAGTCAATATGGATAATCAGATACAGTCGGAAGACAAGGTTGAGGAGAGAATGGTTTGCAAAAGAAAGAGGCCTCGAGTTAGGGATGGATGTCCAGCCCGTGTTCGTTTTGGATGGGATGCTGCTAGGGAGGGATTTGTGGTGTATGAATTCGTAGAAGCCCACAGTCATGGTTTGCACTCTACCGAGCATATGCACTTGCACAAGTCGAACAAGTGCATGAGTGATGCTCAGAAAAAGATGGCTCAAGCTAATCGCGATGCCGGGATGAGTCTTAGTGCATCGTATCAGTTATTGGCTGATTGTGCTGGTGGGTATCAAAATCTGAGATTTACCAAATCCGATCAGAAGAATCACTTGAACACTAAAAGGAAAAGGACAATGGCTCGTGGTGAAGCGACTTATTTGCTGGACTACTTTGAGGACCAAAAGGACAAGCATCCTGGATTCTTTTATGCTGTAGAGGTGGATTCCGAAGAGAAAGTTGCTAATATATTTTGGGCGGACAGTAGGATGCGTGAAGATTATGCGCTTTTTGGAGATTCGGTCTCCTTTGATACCACCTTCCGAACCAATAAATACTTCCGTCCACTGGGTACGTTAATCCCCTAATTCCCTTGAGTTCTTTCGCATGGATGTTTTTAATTATATTGCAGAAATGGTTATGAATAGAATTGGTCCTTGGTGGTATGATATTGACATGTGATGCCCAGGATATTTGTTTGTAACACGACGGGTATTGGTAACCTTTCATAGGATATTAGTCTGGGCTTTACTGATATTGATTCGTTTGAGTTTTTTCGACACTTGTTCGGTTATGCATTGTCATTAATAGTTGTCTCGTGCAGGGATGTTTGTAGGTTTCAATCACCACCGCCAAACTTGTGTGTTTGGTGCTTGTTTGATGTATGACGAGACTACTACATCGTTTGAATGGTTGTTTGTTGCATTTAGTCGATGCATGAAGAATAAGCTTCCAATCACTATATTTACTGATCAGGATGCAGCCATGGCAGCTGCCCTTAGAAATGAGTGGCCTACTGTGTTTCATGCCCTCTGTACTTGGCACATCCTCATGAATGCCAAGAAGCATCTTCGCAAGGACAAGGCATTTTGGAAGAAGTTCCAACATCATATTTCATTTATTTTCTATGACGTCGACAGCGAGGAAGAGTTCGACATGGCATGGAGCACCATGGTTTCTGATTGTTTCCCAAATAGCGACATTGCGGATGGCCATCAATGGTTGGAACGTTTGAAGAAATTTCGTCATCGATGGTGTTCTTTATGGTTGAGAGATCAATTCACAGCCGGGATGTTGACTACGCAAGCTAGTGAGTCGTGCAATGCACAAGTGCGACTTTTCTTGAAGCCGAGGCATGATTTGGACTTGTTTTTCATTCACTTTAGCAGGTACACACGGGCAATATGACTTTTCCCTTCTTTGATATTAGTCTGTTAGGGTTGGATATTTTTTTGGTCAGTTTGGATATTTCTCTGGTATGGTTAAATATTTGTTTATCTTTTCTGGGTATTAGTACGGGTCCGTGATGATATTAGTCTGGGCACTGAAGTCTTTTCTCTTGCTTCCTAATTGTAGTTTGTTGGCTGACAAAAGACGCAAGGAGACAGAGTCAGACTACAATGCAAAACAATCGATTCCTTATATAATGTTGGAGAACAGCCCGATCCTCCAACATGCGGCAAAAATCTTTACTCCTAAAATTTTCGAAAAGATACAGAAGCAGTATTTGGTGGCTGAATCCTATATAATAAAGAAGCTCTCAGATAATAGGGATGATGGCATGATTGGCTACCTCATATATATGATGGAGGATAGTGAGCGTAGTGATGAGCGTGTCGTCCTCGTAGATATTTCTACGACGACCTTGGTATGCGAATGCAGAATGTTCAGAACTTTAGGAGTGTTATGCCGCCACATGATTAAGGTGATGCGGCTTCTTGGAGATTTTGGGGAAGCAAGTATGAGAAGTATTCCGGATCATTACATACTCAAGCGATGGACGTTGGAGGCGAGAGAGAGAGAAGTTGTTGATGTCGATGGTTCTGTTGGTCCTTCAGCTCCCAGTGAGAATGATGCGGGAAAAGGTATAGCAATGCGGTACCGGGAAACCACTGCAATGTTGAATCAGCTAGCAATGAATATGTCGATGGCCGATGAGAAGGACTACAATAAGTGGATGGGAGTACTCAAGAAAGTGTGCAATGAGGCAAACAAGGCATTGTCAAAGACTATAACTAGCGAGGACAGTAAGTATATTCACTAATAACATTTGTAAATTGTTAGAGTTTAATATCATTGCATTTACTAAATTCTCTAACATTGTAGGACGATCTGTACCGATAACTGGGCTGACTTTGAAGGAGAAGAGTAATCCAAGGAGTCACGGTAAGGAACGTTACAAGTCTACGAATGAAAAGGAA